TTGGGGATCCCCAGTTTTTCCGGACGCAGCTCTACCATTGCAAGGGAGTCGAGTGCTTTGATTCCCGGAGGCGAGGCCAGCTTCCTGACAGTCCAGGCAGAGCCACGCTTTTTTGCCGGGCGACCCGAGCATTGGGGTCGTTGGGAAGTTTGATTTTGAACCCAAAAACCCCTTGCCAGGCCATTTTTTTGGAGCACTCTCCTTTTGTCAGTGAGTGGTGGCTAGGTCCAAGATAGAATCTTCTCTGTCGGGTTGAGGTTGACAAGCTTTGAACGTTGTGTTCGCAAGCGTCTTCGTCATTTGAGTCAAGCCCCAAGAAGTTCCCTTCGCTTTTTGTTGGGCAGGGAACAACGAAGTGTCCGTTTCAAAGCCCTTGTTGATTTGGAGCAGAGCTAAGGTCAGCGGGTGTCCCCCATTTCTAGGAAAGCAAAGGTATACCCGCCTTGGATGCCGAAAGGGTTGCCATACGCGTGATTGGACTGGGGTGGTTTTTTGGCCGCTGTGGTTTTTGGATGTTTTTGGTCTCCAGTGAAGTGAAGGGACCCTTTCTTTGTTTTCCTTCTATCCCTCACCCGGACCGGAAACAAAAGGATTTGGGGGTCTGTGAGGTTGCGTCAAACGCCGCAGACGAAACTCGGTGTTTCACTTGGGCGTGTGGAACCCTTTTCAGGGTTGGCTTAAACCAAAAGGGAAGCCACAATTTTGGGCATGCCCCCCTAAATTGACAGAATACACCCACTTCCTGAGCTTCCCGCAGGGAATTAAAGGAACAACTCGGCGCCGGTAGCCTGCGACCTCACCTGCCATGGATGGACGGCATGCAGTGGGGTCCCGGCGCCCACGTCAGCACACCCTTTCAGCAGGCAACTTGGCTAGAGAATATTGGGGGGGCCTTCTGTTTCCCTCCTTGGGCAGACTTCACGTGGCTGTTCCATGCTTTCTTTGTTTTACATCTATGTTTTGATGTTTCGCCCGTCGTTCCGCCAATGGGTTCTGAGTTGCCGGCCGGTTCCGGGGAGGTTTCTGCTGGGAGTCTTTGGCTCAGGGGCTCGCTACATGTGTTCTCCCCTTAAAAGGTGATGGTGGTGCAAGATTTATCAACTGGCCGGAATTGAAGTGAGTTTCCTTCAAGCGGCGTGATGCTTCTGGAAACCTAGGCAACCCCGTAGTTTTTTGGCAGACTTTTCAGGACGCCTTGTGAGAGGGGTTAGAGGGGGGCGGAAGCCTTTGACACAAGGGAACGCTCCAAGGGATAAACCCCGTGCCAAATGGGTAGTACCCCTGCTATCCCCCTGACAATTCACCAACATTTTATTTACCCTTTACGCACTCCTCATGTGTTTTGGGCTTCTTTTCTTTTTTTTTGCACGGACACCCAGGTGTAACATATTTGGGACCTTGCAGTCCAAGGCAACGCTGACTTCAAGGCCAACCACGTCGCCGGTGCCTCGTTGCCAGCCTGCCGTCCTAGTTCCACTCGCCGCGCTTCGGCCACGCAACTCGGCGCGCCGCTTCCGCGGAACCCGGCGCGGCAGACTCTTGGTTGCCCTTGTGGCATCCCTGCCCCCTCAGACAGTGGTGTGCTGTAAGGGGCCTCTTTTTTCACACGCATTAAAATGTACAACCGGGGGAAGGCTTGGTGAGTCACATTTCGTTGTTTTTTTTGAAGCTGACAATGTGTCCCACCAACCAGCAGGCAAGTTCAACTTGTTCTGTGGGTCAGTTACACCAACCTAGGCCCATCAATGCAAGTGCAAGTGGAAGAAACCTGCCACATACCCGAGAAGCAAGCAGACATCGGCACGGCCCCGCTGGTGGCAAGCCGGGCATTGGATGCGAGAGACTTTACGGTGGCGATGTCAAGCTGCTCGAGACTCTCACCGCGAATTGTCTTGTGACACTTGTTGAAGCCCTTTTGTTTTTGGGCAATGGGTCAAAATTAGACCACCAGAAAACCGCAGATTTTAGTCCTTGGTTCCATTACCCAGGGCTCTATTTTGGGCCTTTTGGGTACCCATTTTCGACCCACACCCATTTTTTCAGTGGAACCCTCCAGTGCACTTTTCGTTTGATGGACGCCCAGAAGGATTCCAGGGTCAGCTGTCCAACCGTTTGCTTACGGTCAGCCAGAGAGTAATCGCCGGTGCCTTTCAGGACCTGAAATCACTTGTTTGCTATCGGTTCCCCAAGAAGGAGATTCCTCTGCGGGGTTTCCATTGTAAAACTTAGGGGAGCCACCTTGAACTGTTGGGTAAGATGAGTATTGTCCCACTAACCTGCCAACAAGTGAACGTTTGTGCACTGGCAGTGGCCGCACAGAACGCAAGTTAGGACTCCGTGCTTGGAGGGAGGCGTGCGTGCTTTTACAAGCCATGCCGGAAGCAAGAGTGCAAACAAATGCAACTTACTCGTTTTGGCAAAAACTTTTGGCTGGTTCTTGGGTTCTTGGCACGCGTCTTGTTTGCTGTAAGGGCAAAGAAGCTCGAGTTTGGTTGTGTCCAAGAAAGACGCCAGTGAGGTAATCAGCTTTAATGCCACTGCCAGCGCCTGCCAGAAGGGCGGTCAATGGCAGCACGCGCTGGGGGCATTTCAGGCCATCGCCAAGCGGCACCTGGAGCTTGACATCTACAGCTTCGGCGCCGTTCGCGGGGCTGGTCGTTGGCTGCAGGCCCTGGGCCTCTTCAAGACTGTCTTCGAGGCACAGGTGCAAGTGAACGAGGTGACTCACTTGCAATCGACCGGATCTGACCTTTTGGTTGTCCATGGTTGGTTCATTCTAAGTCATGGCCGCAAAAGGTTCGGCTTTTAGATCTGGGTTTTTTGGCAGCTCAGGTCAGCTTCAATACAACGATCAGTGCTCTTGAAGCATGGGAGGCTGCGTTAGATCTGTTTGGGGCCATGCCTGAGGCAAAGGTGCAGGCCAGTGAGGTCAGCTTCAATGCAAGTATCAGCGCTTGTGAGAGACTTGGGCGGTGGCGGCAGGCATCACGCCTCTTTGGGCTCATGCCAGAGGCAAATCTGCAGCCCAGTGCAACTTTGCTCAACACCCGTTGCTGCCTTTTGTTTGAAAGGTGTCCCTTTAAAATCAACCAGGCACTCACTTGCAACCAAGGCGAATCAACCTTTTGAACTGTTGGTTTCCACATGTTGGTCTATGTTTGGTCATGGCCCGACGGGGTGATCACCTTTCATTTCCAGCTTCCCTTTGAAGACACCTACCAAGATTCAGGGTGCCATTTGAATTCCCACAGAGGTAGTCACCATCAACTCCACCACCACTGCTCGTGGAAAAGGTGGGTGGCGCATGGCATGGGACATGTTCCAGACCATCGAGACCAAAGTGCGACCCAATGTGATCAGCTTCAATGCAGTCATTAGCGCCTGTGCAACAGGCGGGTGTGTTTGTTGTTCCTTCTTTTGGAGGCTCGGTGGCCACTTTGGGGTTGGTGGAAAATGACGCCAAAACAAACACCCCCCAGCCCACCCCACCCCACTCCCGTGAGGGTTCCGATTCCTCTTTTTTTTTGCACAGGCGAACAGTGGCAGCCCGCCTTGGAGTTGTTCTCAGCCATACCGCTGGTAAGGGCGCCACCCAACGAAATCAGCTTCAATGCCATCATCACTGCCTGTGAGAAGGGGAATCAGTGGCAGTGCGCCTTGGACTGGTTTTGCACCATGAGAAGCTCAAGGCTTGAAGCTGATGTGATCAGCTTCAGTGCAACCATCAGTGCTTGCGAGAAGGCTGCAGAGTGGCAGCTTGCATTGCACCTCTTCTGGGCCATGGCTGACGCACAAGTGCAAGCCAACGCAGTCAGCCTCAGTGCAGTCATCAGCGCC